TATGTAAATAATAATTACATAATATCGTATTCTCTTTGGTATCCTTTATTTTACATAGGTTTATTAGGTACCAGAACCAGATACCAGGTGCTATTAAAGTGATGTAAAGTTCATGTTTGGTATTATATATATTCAACAATAAGCATTATATTTATCTCGGTAATCTAGTCGCAATTGATGTTCAGTGAGAGCGTGCGTTCTCAAATATTAATATGTCGGACGAGACAACGGAACCTCTTCTGGTGCATACTCTCCGGGCTCATCGTGGAGAAGTGTCGTGCGCAGATGTGAGCGGTGGGCTGTTGGCAACCGGCGGCGGCGACTGCGCGCTGCGGCTGTGGCGCTGGCAGACCGGCGCTGGTACGTTTACTAACATATGTCAGAATAACGATATTATCGACGGCTAAATTGCAGTGGCTTCATGTAACGGGATGTTAACTTCCTTTTGAATTGATCAAAGAGAGCATTGGCTGCCACGTAACTTACTTAACGAGCAATCGCGCATACGACAACTAGTACAACAAGACAGTAAGTTTGTGATGTTAGTGATGATGATGAAATTGCTTTATAACCTGCAATTATACTCGGTCTCCAAATTCTGCAGACAAAAATACAGTAGCTATTACAATTCAGCTCCGTGGCGTAGTGGCTCAGCAATTAGTTACAGCGCTGGGAGCCTCGGGTTTGAATCCTGCTTGGAACATGTATAGCTTACAAATAACTGTTCCAGGTCTTGACATTTGTCCTGGTGTTTTTATTTTTTTATTTATAATAAAAAACTGCCTCCATGATATAGGAGAAAATCCTAGTGTGGGTATCATTTTTAATGGAAGTAGTAAAGTAGCTGTGGCACTGTCGTGTCTAAAGGGTATAGAGAGCCATCAGGTGGATGAGTTTGTAATTTCGTTTTTTATATCATTTTTATAAACAACTACAGCCACTTTTGAACAAAGAAGCCTACGGCCTAAAATATATCCAAGATCTTGTAAATATTCTATGTCTGGACCTTTTAGACAAGACATTTTAAACAGTACATACTGCAGCAGCAATAAATGAGATGTACCCTGTACGTGTGTAGGATGTGTACACAGTTAGGTGGTACCCACTCGGACGAACGCTAAGCCTGAAAAGGAGTCCTATTGCCTACTCAAAACTAATTGAATTTGTATATAGCATTATGCTAAGTCCGTGGCCTTTTTGTCGTTGCGTACAAAATTGTTTAAGTAAGTAGTTTTTTTTTTAATAAGGATTTCCCTTTTTTGTAAAAGAAGCTGTAATAATGAACAAACACATTATTTCTTTATTCTTTTTAGGTAGTGAATAAAAATGTTCTTTCTTTCTTCGTTTGATCAAATCGATAGCATGCAAACCTGATGGTAGCGAGTGACTACCGCCGTCCATGCACAACTGCAAAATTCAGTTGCATTCAAGGCGTGTTGTCGGCTTTTTAAAAAGAGTAGACTTTTTCTTGAAAGCTCATAAGTTGTATCGATTCTGGAAAATCGCTGGTGGTAGTCAACTTCACAAGGAAATTGTAAAAAAAAGGAAGAAAAAACTTCTGTTAAATCGCACTGTATTGGATGACCGACAATTCAGATGGTATAGATATAGATAGTATCGCGAGTCTTATGGCGATATGCAATGGTGAAATTTAGCGGCAGAAATTAGTCCGCATAATTCCCCTCCCTACCGTGGTATCGATGCGATACAGCAGGCTGGGCGAAAGTGCTGCTGCCGTGGCACTGCCATTATGCGGCGATGGTGGAACTCTATAAAGTTTCAGTCGGTACGAGTCCAACATAACCCGTCCCTACCCTACAAGGCGGATATGCGTAGGCATTTCCCCATGTAAATTAAGTTAGGCTAGCTAGGCTCTTCTAGTAGAATATTAGCTACTAAACTACTCCTTTTTAAAAGTCTGGCAACGCACCTACAATTCCCTTAGCACTGTGGCTGTGCAGTACATTTGTGTGCGTGTGTACGATGTGGCGGGTGCGGTGCAGGGTGGGTGGAGGCGGGCGGCGCGGCGCGCGCGCACCGCTACGGCGTGACGTGCGTGCGCTGGGCGGCAAGCGGCGCGCTGCTGGCCAGCGCGGGCGTGGACGGAGCCGCGCGCGTGTGGTCGCGCGCGCTGGCGCCGCGCCGCGCACTTGCCGCACCCGCCGCGGCCGCCGCGCGCGCGCTCGCCTGGCTCGCCACGCGACTGCTGGTGGGACCTATTTACTATCGCATTGGCTACCAGGCCTTCTACCGAAGGCGATTACATTCTTACATTGTCATGTTATCCCGCGGCTGTTGTAAGGGACCTCGGCTACAAGGCATATATTAACTGATAACGACTACATTGTCTTATAGTCTCCCATGAAGAAATGTTGTAATTAGTTTTATTTAAGAAATTTCTAACGAAAGATTATCTATTAATTTTTCTTCACATTTCATTTTATTTTTTTAAGTGATTTTATTTCTTACTTTTCCAACTCCTTCCTGTCTCTACTTCGCCCTTACTTCCGATTTTGTCGTAAGAAACGACAGAGGTAAATAGAATAAAAATAATTCTTCCTGGTAACGACCCAAATTTATACAAACTGCAATATCCCGAGTCCATTTTCGTGCTCACCCATATCCATTTTATTCGGTCTGAAATATTCTCGGTAGTGAGTCAAATGAGTCTCATAGCCGCCCTTACGGCAACAAATCAGCATTTTTAGATACCTTACTCCTGCTATAACGGTATCTAGAAACAAAAACAGAAACTTTTTTATTAAACATAGAAAAAATATACTTATTGAAAGTCACTCTCTTATATAATTACCATTGATTAGGAAAAAAACTCATGTCCTGGGAAGAAACAGCAAGAAAACTAGCGGGAATTATTTTTTTAAATAACAGCTTATAATCATGTTTGTTACACAACTGATCAACATAAAACAAATCAGAAATAGCTTGGTAGCAATCATCTCACTCCGAAGGATTATTATCATCCATAAATTACTTAATATTATAATATCCAAAAGTGATACATACTTAGTTTAATAAAGTTTTTGAACTTTGAGCTGATTAAATTTTTGTATATATTTCTGGTATTTTGTTGTAAAAGCGTGTACATCGGCTCAATAATGAATTACTCGGAAAGACTCGGTGAAGTCGAGTAACTGGTACTTATATGTCTCTGTTACTAGTATTTAGAATAAATATCACTTATTTTTGGAAAACTACTTTTATTTTTATGAACGTACATTACATTTTCATAAATATATTGAGATGTCAAAGTTAATATGTTAATATCCTTACATTTTTGTCTGAGAGACTTAGGTTTTAAGTCATAGATTGTTCTCAAGAGCGTCTTCTGTAAAAAATTATAATTTAAGTGTCAGTAGCGCGTTTCCATAGCAAAATACCATATGCAATTATGCTATGAACATAGCTTAAGTAAACTCTAGCTATTTCAACATAGGTAAGCCTTTTAATCTTTTTTAAAGCATACGATACAGAACTAAGTCTGCTTCTGGTTTTGATATATGCTCCCCATTGAAGCTTCGTGTCTAGTATAATTAAAAAAAAATTGTGGTGTATTGACAAGACTTAGCTCCTTGCAAATCACATTAGTTTTAATATGTTCAACATTAGGAGTTACGAATTTCATACATCTAGTTTTAGTTCCATTTAAATGCAAATTATTAACATGAAAGCAATCATTATTTAGTTCGTCATATTTAAGTAACTGTCATTCTAACTTAAAAATCAATAAAGTGTCATCAAATAATTTATCATAAACATCACCTACTATGTAAGGTAAGTCATTATAAACAAGAAACAGAAAGTAGACGTATCTCCTTTCAATGTACAGGCTTATATAGAACGTATACGTACCATATTAGTCGACCTTCCAAAAGCATATCTGTCACGTCATGTACTCTGAAGCTCAGTATGAATATCAGATATTGTAATACCTATTTCTATTACTATTTTATTGTAATATCGTATTCCATTATTTTATTGCATATCAATATTTGGATTAGAAGGTGATGAGATAACTTTCCTGCCTTTTGAACTTTTTCTTTAATGCTCATGCAATCACACATAATATAATCGAAGGCAAAAAAATGTTTAAGAAAATAGTTGTGAGTTGTGATCGACAGCCAGTCTGCGACTCATTCCGTTAGTATTCTTTTTATGAGTACGGAACACTACTAAATAATGAGTATTAACGACAATGTATCGTTGTACTTTACTATTATCAATAAATATAAAACAATATTGCCGAGTGCTGGTGGTAAGAGAATACATCCCCAATTTATCCCGTGGGTGTCATAAGATGCGATCATGGAGACTGCTAGAAAAATCCTATGGCTTCTATGAGTATAAAAATCTTTTTTACACCAGACAAACAATACCCGACTTAATTTTATTAATTAAGAATTCCAAACAGATGGTAGCACTCAGCCATCATCATAATGTTGCGCGAATAAGTCGACGTCATGTATACGGCATTAGCGCCATCTAGTGTCAGGGACGAGAGCGAGGGGAGCTTTCCAGAAAATGACATCACTAATCTTTCAACCGACAGCACCATCTAGTCTCGGAACGAAGAACTAAGCTTCTAGAAGTCGACACTCGAACTCTAGGCCCCTTGCGCGTTTTTACTTGAATATTCTGGATGTTTCGGCGCTAATTTGTATTTATAGGCGCTGCAAGATGCGATCGGGGGAAGTATTGAATTTGGCGAGACAAGCGAAGCTTCGGAGCGGAATAAAGTGAATCAGTGTGATTAATTATTAGTGTTTTAAGTTTAATTAGTGTAAAGTGAATTAAAGAGTTAATTTTGGTAATTCTGTCGGCAATTTTTATTGTCACGAACCCTGAAGCTCGTAACAATAATTTCTATAGAGATGATTAAACGTCATCATTTAAACATTATTATATTAAAGATGAAGATGAATTACGATATAGAAGGCCGATAATCAAGTCATTATACTAATGTAATATACTCCGATCGTCAGGTAGGATATGATGACGGAGTACTGTGTATATGGGCAGTGCGGCGAGGCACGCTGCTGGTGCGCCTGGTGCCGTGTGACGGCGCGCTGCACGCGCTGGCCACGCTCGCCCGCGGCGCCTTGTTGCTCGTCGCCTGCACGAGTGGCACGCTTAAAGTTTATGACATGAACGGTGAGAATTGAAAGCAACCTATCTATATATTTTTCAGTATTATCCATATGTGTTGAGTCATCCAATAATTTTTTCGTCTTTGGCTCCGCGAATAAAAATACTTGATAATTATTTTAACACTCGGGGCCACCGATTCGTCAGCCCGGGCCTGATAATGCTCCCGCTTACTGTGTAATGCTGTTTCACACACGCAATCTAAACGAGGCTGAGATCTGCCTCTGATGGAATAAATAGTTCCATTCCCTGAAGCATCACATCAGTGACACAATCATCAACAACGCTGGGATCATCCAATGAGAGGTAAGCAAATAGGTAAAATCCAAAAATGACATATTCTGTATCAAGTCGCTGACCTACAGTGCTGCTGAACGCAACCGCGATTGGAGCGTGAGTGGTGCTAAACTCCGAAAAGCCAAGAGGGCCAGCGATGGACACCTGATAACCATCTGAATGAGAGATAATAATTTTGGAAAATTACAAAATGTACCTTAACAAAACCTATAGTAATTACGTCTGGGAATCCGTTGTAAAAGGTACCGCGTTTTATCAATTTCTGTCACCAAATAGCAGTGTATCTGCTATATGTTTCGATTTGGAGAGAATGGAGAGCTAATATAATAACAAACAATTTACTTCTCACAGTCGACAATGCATCTGTAGCCTTCTTCAATTGAAGTTAGTAAAAGGTTTTATCGTGTTGCAGAAGTCACTATCATACCAAAATTGTTATTTCAGTAATTATAAAAAATCCCATCTGATATTATATTTTCAATTAAAATTAGTTTTCAATTTCGCAAATTGGTGCATATTGTGATTGGAATTTAAACATCTTTAACAAATGCTAACGTCATTTCCACCTGCTTCTTTACTCTTCTTATATACACAAACGAGACTTTAGTGGTCGACAAAGTGGCACTCAGTTTATTTAAAAATGCTCACCAGCTACCTTTCCGTCATTGTAAGAATAAGAAGATGTTTCAAATGATGTATGTCATCGTCAAAGAGTATTCATAGGTGTCTGGTTTATATCCGTCTTGAAGGACCAAAAATGTTCGGGAAATGAACAATTTTGCAATGATAATTAAAAGTTTAATTCAAATTTGTTTATTAAGTAAGTGAAAAATATAATACTAAAATATGTTATGTTAATGTTACATATTACATTATGTGTTATGAGTATGTTTATGAGTTTGTGTCCGTCGCGGTTAAGGTAAATGTTAATTCCAGCAGAAATATATAATTGAATGTACAGTTGGCGTTTTGAATTTGCAAACAATATCGAATAGTTACTTTCAAAGAAATTGTAAAGATGGAAGAATCTTAAGACGTTAACGTATTATTGTCTAACAGAAGTGATTGCTATCGACGAGTCTGCGCGTGAGGTAACGCCACTGATGTGGGAAGATGGCGCGCATGATCTTGGCGCGCTATGCGCTGCGGCTAACGACGTGGGAGACGTAGCCGCCACTGGGGGGCACGACGCTCGCGTGCGCTTGTGGTGCGTGACCGGCGAAGCGATAGAGAGACGCGTGACCGCCGGTGCAGTTCTCTGCGGGCACACTGCGGCGGTGACGTCACTGCACTGGGCGCGTGGTGGCTCCCTCGTCAGCGCGTCGCTTGACCGCACCGCCCGCCTGTGGGTGCCATGCACACTCACCTGTCTCCGAGTCTTACACGCACACGCACGCTACCTTACGTGCGCCGTACTGTCGCCGGACTTACGTTTTCTACTTACGGGTAGTTACTTAAATAGTGTTATCAGGTTCATAGATGTAACACGCATCATGTGGTAATCATTGACCACAGGGAACGGATTAGTTTGAGTGACTCTTTGTTTTGTATGCGGGTGTTGTACATCGGCACCTTTCTTTACGGTGACAACACCGCTGTTTTTGTTTTTGCTTTGACCACTTTTGTAGTCTAATCTGAATGTATTAGCATTAGCAGAAAAAATTCAGCGCGTTAGACTTTTCAACTTGGTCCGTAATCTTCTTTATTGTTTATGTAAAGGTTCAAACGACCGAACGGTGCGCACATGGTCCTTGGGTGACTTCACATTGGAAGACAATATCGAGCCTCCGTGTTCCATTCTAACTCATTTCGGTTTAGGTGACCTTGAGGTAAGCCACAAATATCATAATGGTCCTTAATAATTACTCTCTAAACTGTGAGGCATTCTTTTTAGGGCATCGAACCGGTAAACGAGGAAGCTCTATACGATGAAAGTGCTACTACTTCGGGAGACGACGCAGGTTTTAACGAGGCAGAACGACTGTGGTTTTCTAAAGATATACATGTGGGCGCAATCAACTCCATCGCTACTTACAAGGACATCCTTGTGACAGCTTGTAGGTTTGTATCCTAAACACAGTTTTTATTTTATCATTTTTAATATTCAAAACTTCAAAAAGGTGTGTACTTTAATGATGAAAACCACCGCAGAGTTCATCTCACTACACATTCTTCATTTAGAGGCAAAAAACGTGTCGTATAGTCAATAGTGGTGTGTCTATTTTAGTGGAGTGATGTTGGGATAAGTATTGACAGGGATATTGCACGCAATTAAGGTAGGTTGGAAGGTGCGCGTTAAATTTGGTAAGAAACATCATTTTATTTCATAACTCGGATCTTAGCTAATTAAATTTAACATCTTTAATATAATAATGGATTAGAGCGAAATAACGCCTGATGCTATTCATTATCTAAGGTATAAATTTTAGCAATATATTTTAGCGATGGTGCTGTGCGAATTTTTCGTTGGAGTGAGCAACTTGAAACGTTGCTTTGTGAGCGCGTGCTGGCGGCTCATCGCTACCCAGCAATGTCGGTAGACCTCGGAGCCAGCGGCGCGATGCTGCTCAGCGCGGGGCTGGACGGTCGCGCACGCCTCTGGGACGTTCAGGTGAGGATAATACCATCCATCCATTACATTGGTGGCTCAGTCATGCAGTTGCTTAGAAATTATTTGCAGCACTGGGGCTGCTGGTTTGAAACAAGTATTTTTAAAGCATACTTGTTTAAATCAAGGCATTTAGGCAAGTTAAATCTATAAGCTGCCTCTACGATACTGGAGAAAATAAAGGTCCATTGCTGAACGGGAACCTCCCCTATGGATCACCTCGTATATATATCTTGCCATAGTTCCCATGCTTGGCAGGCGGGTTGACAACCGCAGTTTTTTATTAATTTGAGTTGTTACCAGGTAGAAGCTGCTGTCTATACATCTGTTTCAATTTCCCTTTGTTGTATATATATAAAGTAAGAAATTCATTTTTAGTATTCAGAGTGTGATTCAGAGAGAGACACCGCATGTGTAGCCTTTAAATTGTTTAAAGGGTAAGTGTTGATGCAGGACTGTAAACTCAATTATTACTTTCAGGTGGGTGGACTATGTTCTTCGTTTGTCCCTAATTCTATATAAAAAATGGCCAGGTCTATAGACGTGCATAGCTTAGGACGTGGTTTTGATCTGGCACTGAGTACACAGTGATCGCTTGCAGTCTGGCTGCGAGCTGTTGTCGCTGTCGGGCGAGAGCGTGTGCGGCGGCGGGGCGGGCGGCGGGGCGGGCGGCGGCGGCGTGCGCTGCGCGCGCGTGTCGCCGCACCGGCCGCCGCTGCTGCTGCTTGCCACAGACGACGGCGCGCTCGCACTCTGGAGCCTCGACCAACACAGCTCCGAGCCCATCCAGTGAGACAATCATTTGTTTTATTCGTTATTTATTTCAATTTTTATCAATAATTATATCTATTACAGGTAATTTAACGCCCATTGGCATCCTGTGCCGGTTGATCCCGGGTTTGTTTTGAATTATTTAAAATTATATAAAATATTAGTCGTATTGTAAAGAATATTAAGTTATAAGGAAAAAGAACAGTATATACTCATATAATATGTTACACAATTAACTACACAAAAAATATATAGCCTCGTAGTATTCACCTTATTCACATGGTTTTTTAACATAAATTCCATGTTAAAAAACGAAATAAAATTTTCATATAAAATCTATGTTTAATAAAATTTTTGATCTTGGCTGGCGACAAATTTTATATATTTTTTGGGATTTTAAAAGTATACATATCTCTAAAATGAATAACTGATTCTGTGGAGTAACTGATACTACTAGCTTGTGTCAGTTTTTAGTATTTAAAAAGCGAATGTCATTTATTGCATATCTTGAGCTACAGGTTTGCGCATTTACCGCTAAAAAGAACCCCTTTGTCGTATCTCCTCAGTTTTAGGCACTTCCTTTGCTGCCTCAGCTAGCATCTGAATCTTCGGCGCCGACATATCGAATTATGTGCAGTTTCATTGTCACTTGAAGGCAAGGCCAAATTGGCCTCTAAAAAGCTTGGCGTGCTCAGCAGAGCGAAAGCCCAAGTTCAGACTCACATGGAATACTGTTCTTATCTCTGGCCCGGAGCACCACAGTGCCAGCTCCTTCCACTTCACCGTATCCAGCGTTGAGCGGTTCGAATCGTCAATGATCGAGTTCTTTCTGATCGGATCGATTTACTAGCGCTGCGTAGGAATGTTGCATCCCTTTGCGTTTTCTATCGTATATAACACGAGGAGTGTTTTGAAGAATTGTTCGGATTAATTCCAGCCACCAAAGAATCATGTCCATTTTCCATACATTTAAAAACCTGATAGTAAAAGATTATATATAGTTATAAAGTATAGTAGAAATACTGTATATAAATTTAGAAAATAATATCATATAGTCATTCTTACGATTTAAACGCTATGAGGCCCCAAAAATACTAATGTTACTTTTTAGGGTAGGATTTTCCGATACCAAATAGATAATAAAGAAATATCTGCTCGAACTTAGTATTAACGCTCGAAGTTAAGATAGGAATATTTATCTACCTATGATATAAAACGTATTTTTTACTTTGTGAATTCCTTGAAACCAACTGCCCCTAAGTCACTGCTTACTCTCGATGATTTAATTGAGTGTCGAGCACTAACTGCTGTTTCTCCAGCATACATAAGTATTTACTAACTACATTTTTGGAAAAAAACGATAGATAGTTTTTACATCTCTAAAAAATCTAACTTGTTACTTGTATTTTCAAAATAATCACTTATGAACCAAACACATTTCATTGGCTTGCGGTACATACTTACATAGATACCTGATGAAAGAAATGGGGAAAACAAATAAAACATTATTTTAAAATTGAATGGTTTATTAATTATCAACGAAAGACTGCACCGATGTCAATTGCAGAACTGTCAAATGTAAAAAAAAATCCGTTTCATTCGTGCGCACTCAATGACATTCTGACTGTTTAATTTATTTAATTTGTATTAATCTGTACTATACAAAGACTAATAAAGAAATACCTACTGATTAAATAAAATACACAATAATGTTTAAAACTCAGAAACAGAGTTGAATAAAGTAAAGTGGCTCTGTGTAAAATAGAACGTTCTACAAAAAGGGTAGTCGAGGTGCGTTCAAAATATAGTAACCCGTTTACCCCTGACGTGCTTGAAGAAATGTTATATTTTTTTCCTGCGTTTTTTTTTAACATTGTGATAAGCCTAATTAATATACAATTCAATTAGCTGAATTTTAAGATTTATTTAATTTCTATACATAGTCGAGTGAAAAATGGGCATCTTTCTTTCACGAACGCAAATCGCGTCAAAATTCACGATACCATCCTTACCTTCTGGGTGCTTGGTGGTTCACCACTGTGCGTTTTACTTAGAGTTTCCTTACTTGTACAACTTCTCTGTGGAATTGTTTACCACCGGCGACTTTTCTGGACCAATACGACTTAGGGACCTTCAAGAAAACAGTTTTTTACTCCTTTCTAAAAGGCTGGCAACGTACCTACAATTTCCCTGGTGTTGCGATTGATCATAGGCGGCAGTAGTCACTTACAATCAGGTGAGCCGAATGCTCGTTTGCCCCTTTTTATATACAAAAAGTACAAAGTGCGTAGGTATGTTCTACTAGCGCCTAAAAATCAAGAATTCAACGTTTTGCATCCAGTGTTCGCATGAAATCGTATTTAACATATAAATGATATAAAAAGCATATTGCCAAAAAGATAAATGATTTTTGAACTTATAATTTTTTTTAAATCGATTAATTGCTATTTTTAAATTAAAAGTGGTTATAGTGGCTTATGGTGTAGATTTGGCAAGTTCGCATGGAGGGGTAAACACGATAGCTTTTGAAAATATCAATTGTTCAACTCAATCTATTTTGAATCTCTTCATCTATAATGTGGTAAGCCATGGATTGTAAAAGATTATTTAATTTTGTTATGTTTAGTTATAATTTTTTTCAGCTAAGAAATTTCTTTAATTATAAAATTAAAGTATTTTACTTAGTACAGATAAACTTTGACCGGCTGCCGTCATGAGTGAGTCACTGTGTTATTTGTTTACAGTGTCTCGCGATGAAAATATCGATCGCTGTAAAAATACAAAACATTCCAAAAGCCAAAAGAGACAAATTATTTTTGTATGGAGAATGGACCCACCACAAATTTTAAGGATTCTTAATGAAATGCATTTTTTTTTTTTTAATCTTCGGCAGGCAACACTTTTTTACATACACAAATGGCAACAGGGGTGACGAATCACACCATGTTTTTTAAATTCAAATTAAACTGCAATGTTAGAGAGAACCAAAGTTATTTATTATGAGATTAATCGCTATTATAATTGGGAATATGAAAATAGTGTTTATTACAGCACCGATAATTTGGTATTATTTTTTTGCATTAAATGCAGATCAAGCAAATATCTTCGCGATGTTCAGAGCAAGCGGGCTGAAAGTATTTTTTGGCAAAAGTTTTTAATTTTTTGTCTCGTTTTTTGGACACCGTGCACATCTTGCTTGTTTCTGCAACTTTGCACGGGCCTTACCTTCAGGAGTGTCCTGGATATTTAGAATATCACATAAAGTGACTTCTAATTTTCGCGGTTAATGTGTACTCAAACGATCCCTCATGTGTGGTTGCGCCAATTGTAAACCTAATTTATTTAAACAAACTGCTTCGAAACATGTTGGCAGGAGTGTTGTAATGTTAAGCGTCAATATAAAGCAACATAGAATTGACATCAGCCTGAACCAGCACTCCATAGAATTATCGAAGCGGCCAACGTCTGGTATTGCTAGCCGAACTATACATATACACTGTTTTGTTGAAAATATGGACTCCACATACAAAGTTATAAACTTGCAAATATTTTCGATACTGTTTATCTGAAATCGAAGCCATTTTCACCTCAGAAACTAAACATCTATATCAGTATCACAAAAAGATTAAACATATATAAGAAGCAACAGGGGTGACGAGTCACCCCACCAGTGTCAATATAACAAAAATAACAATTTACTGTGACACGTTGACGTATGTAACTGATTGTATTCGCTCCAAATGGAGAATAGATCAAGCATTAAAAAGAGTCCAAAACAACACCAACAAAATATTTAAACTTTTATCGAGTAGTGGGGTGACGGGTCACCCCTGTTGCCTTCCTAAGGTATAGTAAGGTATGGTAATGCATCTAAATGGATTACTGCTAAATTAACAATTAAAATATGAATCTAAATATAACCTAAAAACATACTGAAAGCGATTTTCTAGTATGTTTCAGTGGTGTTATAAGTAAAAATAGTGTACTTTTGAATAATTATAGTACATACAAAACAAAGTTGCAGTTATATTCAGCATTTATAGGTATATTAAGATCGACGGAAAACCTTTTCTCTAGTTCTGGCAAGATATTGTAGTGCTTGTGTGTGCACAAATGTCGTATGTATTTTTGGGATGATTGTGAGTGTACATATATTTCAAACACCATTAAAGTAATATGGTTAAAGCCAAGATGAGTAAGGGATAATATGTCTATTTATATTTATTGTATTA